AGAGCGCCGAGGACCCCTCGGCTTCCGATTGTCCAGGTGATCCTGAAAGGCGGAAATCATCAAGTAGCTAAGAACGAAGCGGGAGATTAAAAGCTGGCCTGGGCTGCGTTTTCTCCTCAGAGCAAAAGGGAGCTCGGCTCGGCTCTCCCAGCCTTCGGCAGCAGCCCCCCCTTTCCTCAAAGCCTTTACGGGGGGGGAGGCAAGGATGAGAAAGTGGTTGAGGGCCCCGTGTTTTCAATTGTCGGGGGGGGCCAAAGGAGAAGGGCCTTTAAGCCAGGGAACTGGAGGATCCAAAATCGGCCACTGCTTGCAACTGGGGTGGGGGTGGAGGGGTCCCCCAATACTTTCATATCTCTGCAATGTTTGTGGGTCATGTTTAGTTACACACACACACACCCTGGCGTTATTCGCAACAAGCACGTTGAAGGATTCGTTGCTCTCTCTGGAGAACGCAAGCGATGAGCAAGCCCAGCGTGTACATTCATACAGCTTTAATAAAAGGTACAACAGGAGAATATATGTACAGTCCAAATCCACATGCTAGTATTGAAACGCAGTTTAACTGGTAAACCCACACCGTCCCATTTTATCCGCTGAATCCCAACAGCTGCGTTGCCCGGCCAGGAGAAGTCCCTTAGGCGAATCCCAAGTTTTCCATTGTGTGCAAAAAACAACAAATAAAAAAACACCTCTATTCCCCGCCTTAGTTTTAGAAATATCCATCCAAAGTAACTATCCTACGTGTTTATTTATGTACGCACAGACAGACCTGCGCGTGGAGCAATTCATAACGGACTGGTTGAGAAGCTTGTATGTTGTGGGGCATCGTGGTGGAAGCAACGGGGCCGCTTTTCAACGCTTCCCCAGTTTGTGGCCAATTAAACCACAGCATCCACCCTCCTTGGCCACCACCAATTCCAAAGGTCACTTGTAAATTTGATTCCAGGGCACCCCAAAACGTGGGGTTGTTGAGAAAACTACTCAGAAGAGAGAACCGAGATGGAAAGATGTCCGCAATCCTGGCAAAACGGTTGGCGAGCTGCCGTGGATCCTGCCGGTGCCAGAAGGGAGCGTCGGCCAACTCCGGGTGGGCCGCCAGATCCCGTCTTGACGTTGGGGCACCTGGCCTCCCCTCCAGAACGGACCGGTGGGCCTGCTCAGCTCCACCCAAAACCAGGAGATTAAAAAAAGCGGAGATTGGGGCCAAGGTGTCCTACGATGGTGGTTTGAGAATTCAAGGAAGGAGACATCAGGAAAACAGGGGAGACCTCTTCTCTTTAGACCAGGGGTCCCCAACTCTGGCCACTTTTAAGACCCGTAGGTTTCAACTCCCAGGATTCCTCAGCCAGGCATGAATTCTGGGAGTTGAAGTCCGCAGGTCTTAAAAGTGGCCAAGGTTGGGGAGCCCCGCTTTGGATGAGGGGGGGGGGGATATTTCAGCCAAGGGCAAAACTAACCAAATCCTGGCTCTGAACTCCGAGGGGACAAGAAAGGTGGGGAATCGGGCCCCTCTTTGTAGAGAGAAGCAGGAGAGACGCCCCCCCCCCACCTCCCAGGGAACAGACCCTTCTCAGGGGACATCCCAAGAAGCACCGGTGGTCTTCGTCTCCCGGGTGAGGTTCGAATCTAGCCAAGGAGAGGAAAAGGCACCACCAGGTGGGAGTTTACTGCAAGTCCTTAGAACCGGCAGGAGACGGCGGGACCCAGCCGTCAAGAACCCCCTGGGGGGTCAACCTGATCAAAACCCCCCCCAGTCCAGATTCTGCTCAGATGGCTAAGACGGTTCCTCCAAGGCAGTGTTTCTCAACCTTGACCATTTTAAGGCATGTGGACTTCAACTCCCAGAATTCCACAGCCAGCGTTGCTGGCTGTGGAATTCTGGGAGTTGAAGTCCACATGCCTTAAAATGGTCAAGGTTGAGAAACACTGCTCCAAGCTCCCCGAAGGAGGGAGGGAGGGAGACCCTCTCCTTCAGCATCGGTCTGTCCTCGGTTGAGGTATTTTGCCCCGTTCCTTTCACACAAAACTTAAAATGAGAGAACGCACACACACACAAACTCTCCCCGGAAATGGTTTGCACTCTTTGGAAGGTCTTCAGGGTGATGAAGTTGCTTCAGGTGCGCTTTGACCAGCGTACGTGGAAGAGACGTTTGCAGCGGGACCCCCTCAAAATGGGAGGGTCTCAGCAGGAGCCGGATGGGCTCCCTACAGCCGCTCGCCCAGGTGCCGGAAGGCTGGCCCTGTGGGTGGGGGCCGGGTGGGCTTGTTTGGGCCGCTGAGGTTGGCTCCACTGGCCAACCTCTGGGGCGCTGCAGAAGCGGACAAGATCCAGGCTGGAGGCGACGCCAGGCCTTCTCGCCTCCCCTTGTCCGTGGCTGGGTAAGGCCAACCGGGCGGGGGGTCTTTGGGCCCAGAGACCGGGCCGGGTCTTGAACAGGATCCTTCGAGGGAGGGCAGCTGTGGCAAAAGCCGATCTCCACCCAGGTCTTGGTCCCCAGGCCAGCAGACCAGCCGATGTTCAGAGGTGGGGTCCCTGCAAAGGGGGTCCCAGCCCCTCTCAGTGGTGAGATCGGCCTCATCGGGGCCAGGTGACCCACAAGGCAGACTGGATTTGAAGGGAGGAAGAACAAAGATGATTGGGTCCCTCCGGGATCGCTCCGATCAGCTCTGGAAGCTGATGAGGCCTTGGACAGTTCTGGCTAATCGAGGGATGGGAAGACGCTGGGCCGGTCTCGGAGGCTCTGGGGGCTTTGCCTGCTCTGGACAGGAAGCTGGGCACGACAGACCTCCAGGGCTCCCTCTAGGTCAGGGATGTCAAACTGCCGGCCCACGGGCCAGTTGCATCGTGCGGAGGCCGTGCCCGCCCCAGGTCCGGCAGTGCAAAAAAAAAGCTGTGATACGTCACGACACTTCACGTGAGGTGGCGAGTGTGACACCCGTGCTCTAGGTCCTCCCAGCGGCCGGCCAGCCACGTGGCCAGAGTGAAACAGAAGGAGAGACTCCCTTCTCTCACGGGTCAGGAGAAGAGGGCCCTGGTCTGCTCCTCCCTCCCAGAGAAGACCTCTCAGGGCGTGGCAGAGGAAGGGCAACCGGAAGGACCCAGCCAAGCCCCACAAGAGGTGGGAAACTCAAGGAGACCCGAGGAACTCCACAGGGCCGGCCTGCGTCTCTNGGACCTGTGCAATGTGGGGTGGGGGGTGTGTTCTGTGGCTCAACAGCGAGCCCCAAAGACGAGCCCCAAAGGCAAGATGGCGGAGGGCCCTTGGCTGGGGAGGGGGCCCCCTTTGTCTGCTTGGTCCACAGACATTTCAGCTCCTCTAAGGCACTTGTCCATCCAGTCAGGGCCAGCCCTTCTGCAGCCGAACGGCTGGACCCCCAGACGGAGAACGGGCTTCGCACCCAGGTCCAAGGAGTGGGCTTTGCGGCCTCTCATAAGTGGGCCAACGAGCCATCCCAGCGGTCTCCAAGCTGGGCCACTTTTAAGACTGGCGGACTCCAAGCACCGCTGGCTGGGGAATTCTGGGAGTTGAAGTCCACCAGTCTTAAAGCGGGCCGGCTTGGAGACCCCTGAACTATTTCATCAGGGTGACCCCCACCCCACCCTGATGTCCATGGAGGAGCCAACGGGGAAGATCTGAGACGGACGAGAGACGGACACCGTCCTCTCTGGCCACAAATCCCCACATTTGGGGGGGGTCTCTGGGTGGTTTGTGGGCAGCTGCTTTAGGGAGGGGGGCTGCCCTGCAGCTTGGCTTGAGGTAAAATGAAAGTCACATAAAACGGGGAGGGGGAATGTAATATTCCTCTCATTATGGCTGTGGATTATTTGCCACATGGAATGTGGGGTCCTTGGCACAAATGTGGGCAGAAGGGAGGGAGGCAGCGGCGTCTATGAGTCAGGGCTTCGGTGGTGATGGGGGAATTGGGAAAAGCCAAGATGGCGGCCGCTGCACCCTTTAAAGCAGGGGTCCTCAACCTTGGCCACTTTAAGACTTGTGGACTTCAACTCCCAGAATTCCTCAGCCAGCAAAGCTGGCTGAGGAATTCTGGGAGTTGAAGTCCACAAGTCTTAAAATGGCCAAGGTTGAGGACCCCTGCTTTAAAAGAACGGGGCTGCAGCTGCATGAGCTGGCCGCCATCTTGACTTTTTTGACCCAACGAGGTCGGGCAAAACCTCAGAGGGCGCTCCCCAGAGTTCCCTTCTTTTCATTAAAAACAGGAATCTTGGGTTTTTAAAACAGAGTCCTTGTTTCCCGTCGGGCGTATTTTAAAGAGCTCCAATTCCCTTCGTCTGTCTGAGGAAAATGCTTCCCTCCTTCCCGGCTGAGAAATCGGAAAAAATGGATCGACAAGAAATAGAGAGGAGGGCACATACATTTTTTTTTTTTTTTTTTAAAGAGCGGTTTGTGTTTCAAAGGCGGCCGAAGGAGCAAGAGAGGAAAGGAGACAAAATGGGGTGTGGGGGTGTGAAACGGGGGTCCGGGACACCCCACAGGGGTGTTTCTTGTAAATGTTTCCCTTTGAAAGTGTAAATTGTTCCCTTGAAACCAGGAGGGTCCAGCCTTGGCCCCTCGAAGACTTGTGGACTTCAACTACCAGAATTCCTCAGGCTGTCTAGGGTATTCTGGGAGTTGAAGTCCACAAGCCTTCGAGGGGCCATGGCGGGACAGCCCTGCATTAGAGCTTCATTGACAAGGTGCGTCTAGGAACCCGGAAGTGCTGACGGGCCCCCGGCCTTGGCCTTCCTGGAAGGCTCTCTGGGGCTCTGAGCTTCCAGTTCCAGGAGCAGTCTTCCCCAAGTGAGCCGGGCTCCTCCAAAGAGGGGGCCACCACCGAGCAGTCCCGGGTGGTGACCAGGCCCCGCAAGTTGCACACCACCGATCCTCCGGCAGCGATGCTGGTTCCCTGGAGCCGCTCCACCACCCCTTCCTGGCGGTAGCTGGGCACAGGCCCCGCCCTGCCAAGCCCCCCGTCCGCCCACCCAGGCGGCCTGCGGCCCCTCACGAGTGGTGGCTGCTGCTGATGAGGCTGCGCAGCTGCTTGGCCACCGTCTCGATCAGCTTCTGCTTGTCCCTCTCGTTCTTCCGGAACTGGGCGAAGACATTGTTCTTGCGGCTGGTGTCCTTCATCCTGAGGCAGGGTGGGGGAGAAACACTCCGTCAGATAGAAGAACACACACACACATAAACACGCAGACACACACCCCGAAGACGGCAACGCAGGGGCTCCTGAGCGGTGGAGACTCTCCTTGGGGAGAGCCGGGGCAAAAAGGGCCAGGGGTCTCCCCGCCAGCAGCTGAGGTCACCCCACTTGGAGAGGCGTCTGGTGCGGAACGACCTTAACTGTGCAAATGACAACTGTGTCATCACAAACACAACTTGGAGCTACGTCTCTCCACTTGGACCGCTTGAGGATGGCTGGATGGCAACTCCCAGAATCCCCCAGCCAGCCAGCCAGGCAGGCAGGAAAGGAAGAGGGGAGGAAGTAGGAGAGGTTGGCGTGCCCACCATCTACACGACGGGCGGAAGAAACGCCCTGAAGGTGGCAGGGGTCTTCCAGCGTGTGACGAGGACGCCCCACATGCTCAGTCCGTGCCCAGGACACTGTGTGGGGCTCAAGGCCCAGCAGCGGAAGGCGGAAGGGAGACCCCAGGTGACCGAAAGGAGCTCTGGAGATCCAGGAGCCGAGGACAGGGGAAGGGGCAACACGGGCTTCCTTCCCACCTCTGAGAGGGGTGGGCAAAAGAGGAGGAGGAGGAGGAGGAGGGGAGCTGGCTGGCTGAGATGCCTCTCTGGGGCCCTGGCTTAGCCAGCGAGGTGGAGATAGGCGGAGGGACTGGCCAGCGTCTTCTGCACCCTGGTCCAGCCACAGAGCCCGTCCCAAGGCAGGGGAAGATGCGGCTCTGGAGGTCTCGGAGGGGCTGGCTGGGCCTTTTCTGTGCACCTCTTGCGGGATGGCCCTTCCTGAGGCAAGGCCAGCATGGCTACACCACCAAAGGTGCAGGGAACGCTGCCCCCTTCCCACCAAAGTGGGACCTATTGATCTACTCGCGCTTGCATGCGTTCGACCTGCCAGGTGGGCAGGAACTCGGACGCATCCCCTTGCACGGAACGGGGTCTCGGACATGGGCTGCCAGCTCTCCAGCTGACAAGCTCAGCGGCTTTGACCACCGAGCCATCGCGTCCCAAAGTGGGTCAATGCAATGGCCTTCATTCAGCCTCTGGACGGAGGGCGACCACCGCCAGCTAGGGAACCCAACCCGAACACTACGATTTCCAGGGCTTGACCAAAATCAACCCCTCGCCGGCTCGGTTGGGGTCCAGGCCAGAAACAACAAGGAGGAAGGAGGGGTCCAAACTCTCAGCCCCAACCGCCCCGTCCACAGAGAGTGACCGCCAGCCCAGCAGCAGCATTCAGAGAGCGGCTCAATGTCTGTGGAGCTTCTCCGTCGTCCAGTTGTCCCGAGGGTGCTTTTCCCGAAAGGCAACTGGACTTTATTGGGTTTTTTTTTAACTTTGAAAACCTTTCGCTTCTCATCCAAGAAGCTTCTTCAGTTCTGACCGGAGTTCTGACTCTAACGAGTTAGAACTGAAGAAGCTTCTTGGATGAGAAGCGAAAGGTTTTCAAAGTAAAAAAAAACCCATTAAAGTCCAGTTGCCTTTTGGAAAAGCACCTCTGGGACCTTAGAGGACTTGGAGGGTCAAGTTCCAGGACGGGGCCTGGGCGCCCTTTGCACTGCACAGGCTAAGGAGGCCGGCCAGGCCACCCCACACATACTTACTCTCGGGAGATCCTGCCGGGAGGAGGGAGGGGCAGGGAGAGGAAGGAGAGACAAACCAAGAGGAGAAGTTAAGCAGTGGCCGGCACAGCTGACTGTCCCACTTCCCGGCTCTCCTCCTCCCACCGAGGCGCCATGCAAGCCCTCCAGCATGGGGGCAAAGGGGGCAGCAGCTGGGGCCGGCCTTGGCAGGTTCCTCTGAGAACCACAGGGAGCCTGGAGCGTGGCCGAGGAGGAGGGGGAGCCCTTTGGTCAGAAGACCTCTCGTTGCTCCAGGTTGTTGCCCTCAGCCCCACAGCCCCACATCTGGTCCCAAAAGAGCCCCAATGGCAGCCAAGCCAAAGCGGCACATGCAAGCACCAGCTAGTGACCCCTCCTTTGCCAGCTCAACCCCGTCTACTCCCCCAGCAATGCTGCTGCAGGATAAGTGCCACACAAGGGTCTTGTCTGACCCAGGGACTGCAGGGTGTGTGTGTGTGTGTTGTCACCTTCTCCCAGGGGCCACACGGAGAGGACCAGCAGAGCCCCCAAAGAAGAGGCCTCCAATTCACTCGCACCCGGGACCTCCATGTGGTCCTCACCCCATCTTCTCCTTCATCCTCCAAGGAGGACCTCTTCCCCACCACTCCATGAAGCAACTAGGGGTGGCCCACATATAGCCTTCCACACGTTTCCTCCTTCCTGTGTCCCCCGTTTCCCAAGGTCTAAGCCAGGGGTAGGCAACCTTGGCTCTTTTGTGACTGGCGGACTTCAACTCCCAGAATTCCTGAGCCAGCATGGTTCAGCTTGGAAACCTCTCCCTTTCCCTCAGCATGGCTGGCTCAGGAATTCTGGGAGTTGAAGTCCACGAGTCATAAAAGAGCCGAGGTTGGCTATCCCTGGCCCTAGACTAAAATATAGGAAGAACGGCTGCGGGACTTGGGAATGGCCAGTCTAGAGAAAAGAAGGACTGGGGGGGGGGGAGACATGATAGCAATCTTTCAGTATCTCAGGGGCTGCCCCAAAGAAGATGTGGGGGGAGGGGTCACATTATTCTCCAAAGCGCCTGAAGGCAGGACAAGAAGCAACGGATGGAAACCAATCAAGGAGAGAAGCAACCTGGAATTAAGGAGAAACTTCCTAACAGTGAGGACAATGAACCAGTGGAACGGCTTGCCACCAGAAGTTGTGGGTGCTCCATCACCGGAGGGTTTTTAAGAGGAGATTGGACAATTGTTTGTCTGGAATTGTATAGGGTCTCCTGCCTGAGCAGGGGGTTGGGCTAGAAGACCTCCAAGGTCCCCTTTCAGCTCTACTCCAATGGATTGATTGAATCCCAGGCATTTTATTCCCACTGGCCAGTCCAGGTGCATTAGACCCTCCCTGTCCTGGAGACTCAACCAGCGACAACCACAACCCAGCACCACATGCAGCATCGCCATCAGCAGAAGCTCTTGTGCCAAGCTGGGCCCCTCACGGAGCAGGCCGCGGTCCCCCCATCCCTGCCCCAGGCGGCTTGGGCAAAGCAGCAGCTAGCAGGGGGCTCTCAGGCGGAGCCAGGGGGGGGTGGAGAGCACCCGCGGGCACACTCACTTTTCCAGCAAGGCCAGGGCGGTCGTCGGGTTCACCCGAAGGTACTTGCAGGTGGGCTGCCCGTAGTCGGCCAGGTACGTCGACCAGTCCCACTGGAGAAACAGGTCCAGCAGCTGAAAGAGGGAAAGGGGAGCACTGGGTAAAGCTTCGGGGGGCTTGCCGGTCGAGATGCTGTCCTTCAAAACCTGTAAAAGGGGCCTGTGGACCCTCTCTCCCCCCAGGGCCTCTGGGAGCTGAGGGCGGAGTGGAGGAATCCCTCTCGGGGTTCATGCCCAAGCCTCACCTGAGTCTTAAAAAGAGTTTTTGTTGAGTGCCAACACTGTCCGGTGGACATTTTAAGAAGAGACTGGACAGCCATTTGTCCGAAATGGTATAGGCCAGGGGTAGGCAACCTTGGCTCTTTTATGACTTGTGGACTTCAACTCCCAGAATTCCTGAGCCAGCAGGGCTCAGCTTGGAAACCTCTCCCTTTCCCCTCAGCATGGCTGGCTCAGGAATTCTGGGAGTTGAAGTCCACAAGTCACAAAAGAGCCAAGGTTGCCTACCCCTGGCCTAGGCCTAGGCTGCTTTATGACTCGTGGACTTCAACTCCCAGAATTCCTCAGCCAGCAGGGCTCAGCTTGGAAACCTCTCCCTTTCCCCTCAGCATGGCTGGCTCAGGAATTCTGGGAGTTGAAGTCCACGAGTCATAAAGCAGCCTAGGCCTAGTCCAGGGGTAGGCAACCTTGGCTCTTTT